CCGGCGGGCCGCACAGTGAGCCCATGCGGGCCGCATGCGGCCCCCCCCCGGGCGCATGTTGTGCAGGCCTGCTCTAGAGCGATGTATAGGGCTGTACGGGATAGAGTCCCACCCTCTTGAGCAAATTCTTTGCTACGCCAGCTGCCCAGCCCAGAGGACGGTGCTCTAGGCAGGGTGCAGGTGCCATTTTCCTCTTCACACGGGGTAGATACAGCCCCACTGAAGTCAATGGAGCTGTGCCAGCTCGCCTCCGCGGTGGAGCCAACCCCGGTGTTGCTGTCATCCAAGCTCATGGAAGGGTAGGACATACCGTGCATACACCACAGCCCAGCCTAGCAATACCTGCTCCCTTCAGCAGACCAACAGTGGCTAGTTGTTTGGGCTTTGCGGACGGGGAGCAGGCTCCAGCGAGCTCATTAAGTGAAAGCACGGCCCTGCTAAATTGCATCTGCACAAGGACAATTGCTAGCATGGGGTAATGCGGCATCCCATTGCTAATTGCACCTGGCTGCAGCCCACTGTTGTGTGCTGGGTGTCAGACCATGCCTGCTTTGCCGGAGGAGGGCAGCTCCAGGGCCCTGTGGATCGCAGACCCCAAACTGCCCTTTGAAAACCTGCCAAAGCCAAGGAATGAAAATGAATCACTTTTGAAATATCTTTGGCACCTGAGCATCTCTAAGGAAAAGTGTCAGGGGCTGACGGCCTTCTCTTAATTAATACCCTTTGGTGGAAACACAGGAGGTTACTTCAGGGCTAAATTAGTTGCAGCCGGACAATAATTCTAAACCTTCATCTCGTTCCTGTTCAGAACAAAGGTAATTCCCCTCCCCCGCCAATCACACACACATTTTGGACCCATGCTTTGCTACCCTGTGAGGGGAAAAGGTGAACTGGTCTCAGCCTGAAGAGCAAAGGCTGGTTGGAGTGTGTGGGGTAATGTGCCCATCAGGATTAGGGTCAGAGGCTGGGGCTTGGACAGCTTTCTGTGTTCCAGTGCCTTGTGATTTGCTACACTGCCAAGACCATGTTCTTCAGTAAGAGCCAGCATTGCTTGACTCTACTAGTCGCTTGGTTGCCTGGTTTGGGCCAGATCCTCAGCAGATGGAGGATCCAGCCTGGGGAATCTCTGCAAAAAAAAAAAAAAAATACAAAGGGCCAAATCAACTGCCCAGCCCCAGGGAAGTCAGTGGAGTCATAAGATAAAAGTGGGTTCCCCCCCCTGGTCCCCTGTACAACAAACCCACTTGCAGGAGCATAGAGGAGCCAAGCATGCAGAAGGCACGTTCATGTGTGATGGAGACCTTGCCCTGCAGCCCACCCCACTGCTAGGGCCATCCCGAAGGAAGAATCCCGAAAGCCGCGGCTGTGCGAACACATGGTGCAGAAGCTCTTCAGGATTGTAAATCCCAGGGCAGAAGGGTCTCAGAATAAGGGCAGATTAGTTAGCTCCCGGGGTCAGTCACAGGCGCTCCTCAGTGGCTCAGCTGAGGGCAGTTGTGTGTTTTCAATCAGCCACTGGTGTCCTGGCTGGTCATTATTGCCCAAGCCCCTTTCCATAGTTCCTGGATTAGTTGAGGCAGTGGGGGGGGGGCTGCTGGTAAACTCTCGGCGGGGATTTCTAGCTAGGACGTAGATTGATATAGGGGACGCCTGAGCTGTCGCTTGTTTTCATTCCTGCAGCTGCTCCATGAACTGGGTCTCAACAAGCATGTCCCAGTGTGGCAGCGAACAGCCAGCTCCTTCCCTCACTCTCAGGCAGACCTCCGGCTTAACCCTTCGGCTGCTGCTGCCAGGGCCGGCTCCAGGCACCAGCCCACCAAGCTTGTGCTTGGGGTGGCACCTGGAGGGGGGCGGCGCGGCGCTCTGGCTCCAGCCGCCGGGGAGAGCGGAGCCCCGACCGGGACTCGCCGCCCTCCCTCTGGTGCTCTGGCCGCCGGGGAGAGCGGAGCCCCGACCGGGACTCG